AAAAAGTCCTTGTTTTGCACTGGTTTGGTAATATATTCTCCTCTGTTACAATTGTATACAGACTCTGGCACATCTAGAGACTCAACCATTAACAATGTATTTTGACCTCCACTGATAGGAAGATTTCATATTCATCCTTCTTTGATCAGTCCTGTCACACTATACACTTGTAGTATGAGTGCAGCTATTTAGTAACCCATTCCATGGGTGATTTTCTGAAGGTAGAATAGGGAGGTAAATAGTCCTTGCTTCAGTGCCACCAGAGGACAAGTCCCAGAATCTACCTGCTGTATTAAGATCACAGTAGCTTTGGACCCCAGTTCAAACACCAAAACATGCACAGCTCAGCAATACAGCTGTGCACATTTCAATAAATGGGTTGCTAGCCAGAGCAAAGGAGAAAACAAATATTCTACGTGAGCAGAAAACGTTCAACTGCCAGAGTCAACTCTGTTCCTCTCCTACCATGTGCTCTATTCAACATCTGTGTTATTCAGTACTTAATTCTTTTTTAATGTCCTTACCTATCTAATCTTGTCTTTCTATCAATAATGTAGCCAATTGATGCCAAGAATAGCAGCTATGGTGGGAGAGTTGTTTGTTGAGTTCATCTGAACAAGCATCTTATTCTAGATCTTACTGCTTATCTATTTAGGGATTCACCAGAAAGGATAATACCAGGAGATGATTACTGAATAACCTGTTAGGTCAGCCATCCCTGTGCCTCTCATGGATACATAACAGAGCAGGTTGCTTAATTCCAGTTTCTAAAAGTAATTTTAAGTACATATAGATCTATCAACCACTCTTCTTCAGAAATGCTTCTATCCTCAGAACAGCACATTTAACTTTGTTCTGGCCACTATTACTTTTAAAAGGCCAGTTGGAATTTTTCTACATGAAAGAAACAAACTTAGTGGAAGAGCTGAAGAAAACACAGCTGAAAGAAGTTCCAGTAACTGTTTACAGACATAGAAGACATTTTTATCCCTTGAGAACAGTACAAGGACTGCTAGTTTTGGACTTCAGCAGAGAGAATGTAGGTTAATAACTAGAGAAACCTTAAAATTAAGTTCTTGAGGAAAGAATCAGCTTCTACAAAATGCTACAAGATCAGTGTCTCTGGGTACATACAATGTTGCGTTAGTCACTGATCCATCAGAGATCCTAGGAAGGTTTCAGTCAATGCTCATTTTGCACAAGGAATGGATCTGAATGTACAGTTCAGTCTCAGAAGGACTACAAAAAAAGGATACGATACAAATATAAGTTGCTATTCTAAAATAAGAGTTTATATGGGAATAAAACTAAAAGGAGACAAGGACATATTAGTAAAAGGAAAAGAAATAAATTTCTTTTAGAGATGGGCAACGGAAATCTTCCATAGACAGAGGAACAGAAAACAAAGGTGGAAGTATGTACATAATCCCATGTCTCCATGGGAACTTGAGAAGAATGAAAGCAGAAAAGTGAGAAGGGGAAGCAGGAAAGTTAATTACTTGCAGAGATTCAGCAGAAAGTAAATTCTCTGGCTAAAGGAAGCAGATATTTGGAATCATGGAACTCAAGTGCTACAACTGATTGCAACTTTTAAACTAGAATACAAATTTCTAAATAAAAATTCAGAGAAGGTTGTTATTTTTAAAAAGTAGTAACTAATATATAATAAACACTACTAAAATAGTAGAAGGATTTTTAAGAAGACTGCTCGGTAGAAAGAATGGTTCCCCAGCTGAATATTTGCCAGTGAAATGCCATCAATTCTGATTAAATATGTAGGTATTCATTTGTTCGTTCACTCTGTCCCTCCTTTAAAAATCACATGCCCTCTTCATCAGGAACAGTGGTGGTGGTGGTTTACCTTCCACTTGCTTGACCTCAGAGGCTTTACTTTGCTTTTCAAGCTCTACTTTCCACTCTTCTTTGAGGCACCTGCTGCCTCTCCTTGCGAGGTGCTCAAACTACATTTGGGACTGCTCTCATACAGCTGCTAAGCCTATGCTAAGCTAAGGCTATGTTACCATTTGCAGTTTATACCCATCTCCCACCAGGCTTGCCTTCCACTCTTTTTATTGAAGCTATCCCAAGAGAGTTCAAGGTACTATCCAGTGCAACTGGTTGAAAATCTGACCATCAAGTTTTCTACTTGGTGATGTGATGAAACAATGCATTTCATGATTATCCCAGAAATTTTATTGATGCTTTGATCAAATATTTTATTCTAATTTCTACTATAGTATATGCTAAATAAAACCAGCTGAAGTATTTCAGAATATTTAATTCCATAAAACAGGCATCCAAACACCTCTTCTGAAAAACAGAGGAGGACAAAATATTTTGAGCTCTGAAAACCTTTGCCACATAGAAATTGCATGTTTTCAGTCAGCTTTAATATTGGGACCAAGTTTAATACTGATGTAGGTCTGAATGCCTCTTACAGAAAAAGGCAGGTCTTTTCAGAGATAACATTGCTATTTTCCAGCCCAGTGGTAGTGCCACTGGGCATCACTCTTGCATCATCTTTCTCACACACAGACTAGTTTTTTTTCCTAAAACCTTTTTCTAGCTGATGAGATCTGTTGATATGTTCTTGTTTCCCATAATATGAATGTGTAAATATGATAAAAAGGGCAAAGTAGGTTTTGACCACAAATCTTTGTTTGTCCCCATGCAGTTTTATAAGAAAATTAATTTGGTTTAGCTGTGTTTATGCTTTCTTCTCTCTGGCCATTTTCAAAACTCAAATATCAGAATATTTGCAGAAAAAGCAACCTGGAGGAAAATTAAATAAACTACAGAAAAAGCAAAGTGTTGACCCGTTAAGCTAATTATTTATACCAATAATGTGATTTAGGGAATAATGCTTTCCCAAACAGGAAATACATAGACTGTTTCACCTGCATGTTTCCATGTAAAACAAATATATCTGTCCAAAACATCTGCATAAGGAGTACTGCAAATCAATTTCTAACACACCAGAATTAGATTGAGTTTTATCTATAAAAATATTCATCAAATAATTTCAAAGAAAAATATTATTTCCAAGAAATTCACCCAAGCAGGGTAATAGATCAATTACTCATAATTAATTGTGTGTCATGTTTGTATAGAAATTTAACAAGGATAGGATATTCTTCAGGATGACGACATTACAACTGGGACAGTTCTTCCCTTCTGCTCTAAACTCAGGTAAAAGAGTTCTGCAGTCATATAACCCTTTTATCATCTATCTACAATGGAAAAGGAGAAGTCACTGTGCAAAGTCTGGAGTCCAAAATTCCTTATGGCTCACCTGTAACTGTAAGTTCCCTAAAAGTGAAACAGGAAAGTTTATATTTCCAACACTAAAGACTAAATTTATGCTCCAAAATGTAAGCCAAGGCAAATTCTGTCAATAAAAAATGTATGAGAGTCTTGACTTCGGGCCAGATTTCTGCTGCCTGCTTTGATATCTTCAATGTTTAAACTACTCTGTGCAAATCACTACTACGCATGTTGTGAGTTCTCGGTAAAATCCAAAAGCAGTGCAAGATCAGACAATATAGAGTCATTACGTTCAAAATTACTACCACTGACAAGTGTTCTTGGATTTAGAAAGCTGTTCCAGAAAAGAGATAAAGAAAGATATGCATATACCAGCAAAGGAAACCTGTGGATTTCAGCAAGATACATCTTGGGCTCTCACAGAAGTCTTAGAAGACACATTTCAGTTATTCCAGTGCACGAGGACTGCTGTTTAACCACAGCATAGGTCTTCTGACTCTTCATAACTTTAAGAGCTCTTCCTCCTTGACCATGTTTTTATCATGTGTCATGTCCCATTCATATGCAAGTCTTTCAGTTTCTGGGCACGTACTGGTCTCACCATACAAGAATATGATTTCATCACATGGAATATAGTTCTTATTCACCATGCAAGCTCCTTATTTCCTCACTTTTTAAAAATCAGTAGAAAATGCCCCCAGAGATTGACATAGCAAGAGTTATTATTTTAAGGTCGGTAACATTGCAAGATAGGCAAATAATAGAAAAGAGGGTTCTAGTTGTCCTCAAAACCAGCTGTTTTGGATCACAGAAGTGAAGATCTAATATTTTCCTATTTCTATTAACTTTATTCAGGTTATTGTCTTACAAGCTAGAAGGTATCTGGTAGTACAAATTACAATTGGATGTAACTCTAGAATAAGCATTAAGATGGGATATCTCAAAAATATGTGGGTAAGAAAAGTGCCCTTCACAGAAATGAAGCAAAAAAGAATATCAAAAGAAGAAGGAAGGCATCAAGAACTAGATTTAAAAAAAAAAAAAACCAAAACCATTGTGTAACAAATCTTGGACTCCTCACTCATACTGGGACTCTGGTACCCTCCTTCGATGTTGATGCTGGGCTCTACTATAATTTTTCCATTTAGAAAATGCCTTGCTTCACCTGCAGTCCAGCTGGAAGATGCAAACAGCAGTGCTATATTCAAAGGGAATATGTATTAAAACAAAGCATTCAAGATGTTATGTGTTTCTTAGAAGGGCTCAGCTTTTGATAATGCCACAAGACATCCGGTGAGGGATAAGACCTTCAGAATTTAGCCCAGTGAGGTTTTAAAAGAACTGAAGGGAAGAGAATCACCAAATATATCAAGAGACACAACAAGGGTGAAGTACCTTTGTCGGAGATTTTTGATTTATGCTTTTGTTTGTAACTATCTGAAACAGAGAAAGAAATAGAGGGTGAAACTTACATGGGGGAAAAGAAGACAGAAGGCAGAGAAGCCAGAAAAAGAGAAAGAAAAGAGATGACTTCTTAAAGGGCAAAGGAAAATGGAGTCTTGCTGAGAAATTAATTTTATTTCCTTCATGCAAAAACACCAAGAGCATCAGCAGCAGGTGACAAACATGCAAGTCAGAGAGCAGCAGAATATTTTGCTGTAATATACGAAGCCCTGAGTGCACTGAGCTGGTAGGACCAGGCTGGAAGCAGAATAAGCTGTCTGGTTGCTACTTACTGTCACAAACATAGGGTTTGTCATTATCATCCTGGGAGGCAGCATCATTCCGTCTCCTGCCACCTCCAGACCCCCGAGCCTGCAAGGACAAGAGGAATGTTAGCATTATTCCATCACCCCTCAGGTCTCCTTGCTCCCCACACCCTCTTGTGAAAGATGTGCAGTATAAACTAAACAAATCCTCAGCTTCCATACAGGTTTCTCAAAGTGGTCTTGACCCTCCATCTCCTAAGATGTGCTCTATGTTAATGGACCTTGTAAAGCAATGGACATCCTCTCCACAGACAGCTCAAACTGTTCATCCGTTGCAGTAGGTCACTGCCAGTACATATTCAGTCAAGTATCATCACACATTCATTTCTGAAGATGTTCAAATACCTTGCTGAACTGAATATGAACGAATGAATAGATGAACAGGTGTTGAAGGATATATACAAACATTAAATCAGCCAGAAAACAGGCCCCAAATGAAAGAGAGGTCAAATTATTTCCTTCAATATTTTCAAAGGAGCATTGTTTGTGTTGCTATGTTTTGTTTTCTAGCTGAAAAGCAGTGTTTTGAAATGGCCTTCTGGGACAAAGATACCATGGCTAATTATAAAATGGAGCTTTGGTCAGTTAGTGGAAAATATTAGATAATGTGTCTACCTGCAATAACAGAAATTACCCAGAAAAGTCTCTTTGCAGTTCTGTGTTCCTAAACTGGACTAAACTGGCAGCTATAGAAAGTGGAAAACTTTGTTTCTCCACAGCACAGACTGTTCTGTCTTGAACTCCAGGGGTGAGAGTGGAATTCAGCTTCAAAACTACTTGATTCTGACCCTTCTCAGATGAGATACCAACAAGGAAACAGCTCATATCTGTCCAATGCTGGAGTTGTGATGTGAAACTGGGAACTGAGCCAAAGCCTTCAATACTTTCATGTTCACTAATGTACAGTCTGTAAATGATAATAATTTTAGACTTGATCTTTGTTTGAGGAAATGATCACAGGTGGATGGCTAAATAGTTCTTTATTAATTCTGCTAACTATTCTAGGAAAAAAATTATAGACTTGCTTCTGCTGCTCGTCATATTTCTCACTCTAGACAAGGCCACCTGACTCAAATCCTGCAAGCCTTTTCATGTGAAAATAAGAAAATGACAGAGATGTGTTAGGTAAAGCTGAAGAAGGTGTAGAAATCCTGAGAATATTCACACCCAGCCATAAAGGGGCCATAGAAACTCCATCCCTCCTCTATGAGCTTGGAGCAGAACTAGCACTATTAGAATTGTGTTCTGCTGGATATCTAAAGAGAAGTAATACGGAACAGTTTCACACTGGCCTGACAAAGTCTGTCAAAACAGACAGTTTTGAACAGAAGCTATAATAATTTCACATGTTATTTCCCTGGGATTGTGCAGGTCTAACTCTTAACACAGTCCCAAAGGAAAGACATGGATTTGCAGCTATCTGGATGGGGTAAATACTATTATGTATGACAAGGATAACTCTGCCTTCTGCAAAGACCTCTGTGCAGTCCAACACACATGTGCAGAGCAAGATTTGTAAGGGTAAACTGAAAAGCAGTTTCACCCTAGAAATGGCATCAGCAACAATTGTTTGGTGGAAGCTTCTTTACTGACCATATCATATAAAATCATCTTACTAGTCTGCACTATTTTCTCTCTGACTGCCAGCTCTTTAAACCCCTTCTGGGCAATGAAATCAATCCCAGGCTAGTTCTTTTCTTCTCTCACTACTGCTAAATGTGCTGCAAGCTGAATTTCAGTCCATGGCAACTCCTCCACAACCCTCAACTCATCAGGCGGTCTTCACATAGACAAGTGATTGGCTCTTATAAATATTTCTGCTGGTACCCAGATTAGGATCTAAGTTCCCCATTTTACCAGCTGTATTGGCTTTTCAGGGCTATGAAAAAGATGTAAAGTCTTATATTTGTCACTAGTCAGTAGCTCTGACTCTATTCACGCACTGGGAATGTACCTGTTGAGTAAGAAGGTACTATTTTACATAGGTACATTTCAGAATATGATACTAATTTAATGTTTGTTGCTCAGAATTTTTCTAATTGTACAGTTAGCTATTCCCTTTCAAACTGTTCTCTACAGAAATGCAGGGGCACAGCATTCATGGCATGACCACATGTCAGATACACTTTTTCATGCCATGAACACAGAGGGGGAGATTTTTCAAGTCAATGACATTCAACGGGACTTGGGTTCCTAAATATGCTTGGTGCCTTTGAAATTGTCCCACAGGATATCCAGCTGATGAGCAGACAATCTGTGCAGGTGCATATGCACATCTCATATCTCCTAGAAAACTATACTGCCCAGCTCCTACTACATTGACCCTGTTCAGCAAAAACACTAAAAATGTCCTTCTGTAGATCTACCTCTTCAGCCTTCAGTGTCCTTCCTGTGCCCCCATGATTTCAGGGCTAGCCTTGAGGGGACAGGAAACCAAGCAGCTGCCCCAGAGGCACTAAACTGAATGCCCCACGCTTGCTGCCTGTGCTCCAGGCTATTGAATTCAGTCATCCACAGCTGCCTTTATTCTCCTGACAGGATGCAGCAAAGACTTTATGTGTGAGGCCTGGACCCAGGGCTCAGCAGCCCTGAAGCAGCCAGAGAGAGTAGCCAAAAAGACAGATGGAGAGTCCAGGATTAAAAATAAAATCATGCTGTAGGGAAAGAAATGGGCATGTGCAATTTGGAAAGTCCAGAGCAGTAATTCCATTGCATTAATCCTGCATTTATGCTGTTAGTCCTTCTCACTCCTCTGAATCTCCAAAGGTCACACTCCACAGGATCTTGTTTCCTATGCATGTCCTTCCCCTCTTCTGCCCTCTAAAAATACCCTGACCGAGTCCTTCCCAGAAACAAAGAGCAGGCCAGGTTTCATGCCACCTAATTTTAAATCCTTCGCCTCAATTCCCTATACTCAGTCAGGCTAGAAAAGGGCTGCCTTTAGAAACTGGCAAAGAACTTGTGACCAGATGCAATTCAGGCTTACCAGTTTTCAACAGCTAGATAACCTGGCCCCAATTTTGAAATCCTGATTTCTACCACATTTTGCTTTGGTTATTGATGCCATCAAATAAAATTAAAAATTGCTTGAAGTATGCGGCATTATTCAGACTTCTCTTTTTTGCACTGAAAGAAGCCAGGGCACTAGCAGAGTAGGAGTTAGTTGCAAGAAAAAAGCAAGCAATCCTGATGCTCCTATAATTAACAGGGGGAAAGTTCTAGGGCAGAAAATAAAACATAAATGTAAGCTTCAAAATTAATGGGACATCTAGAACTCTCCAACTCCTTTCCTTACAGTAACAGAAAAATAATTCTGTACCATTTTCCTGAACAGGGAAGCAAAATCTTGCACATAATACTAGCTTCAGGACTTTGTTTGTACAGGTCTGGGATATATGAATATACCAAATCCTCTTCTCCTGAGCAGTATATATCTTCTAGCTCTTTACTCCCTTTCACTCACCCTAACCAGAATGTGCAATTTATGTGAGAGCAACTTATTAGAAAATAGTTGTTAGCCTGGAATATTAGTTGATTGCTACAGTCAAGCTTATGTGCATGTATTGATTCTATCTCCTGGTTTTGGTTACTGGTTCATACAAATTTTCTGAAACTTACATTTTTCTGGAAAATTTTTTTCCAGGTGGGGGTCTTTGGCTAAGAAAGAAAGAAAGAAAGAAACTGGTTCAGGTGATTTTGAGAATAAGGAAGATGAAATATATACTTATCCAATTATTCAAGTGCTTTGATCTTATATTAAAGGACTTAAGCTCCAAAATAAAGAGGAGCAGAAAACTGAAACAACACAACAACCAAAGAAGAAACCAAAAGAGAGGGTCTGATGCATAAGTACATTTCAAGTATTCAATGTGGTTTCATGTCTCTTATTCAAAAGCTATTGTATTCTGCTCATTTGGCCTAAAATGTGGCCCTTCTTGCTTGACTTCTATAAACACATCAAAAGGTACAAATAGAGCTCCTGTGCCCCTGCAGCATCCACTGGAGCCAAAGAGAGATGAAAATGCTCAAAACTTCTGAGACTTGTGTTCACATTTATTTAGATGCCTAGCTTACTTATGGGACCACAATTGAAAAAATGTTGATTCCAAGTTTAAAATGTTGGCCTCATTACTTAACTAGTACCCTGATGAATTGTGAAGACATCTTAGGTAAGAGAAGGGACACAGAGTCCCCTAAGGATAAAATATTGCCCTTTTCAAGCAAATGGAAGATTTGCCATGGGCTCAAGAGAGCCAGCGTCAGCCACAAAATGCTACCCTGGAGAAAGCTGCAAAACTTATTAACACTGTTCAAGTTACTTTTATTAACACTTTTTTGGCTGCCATGACTGAATTTGCTGCTTTTCTTCAATTAGTAAAGTTTTTTTTAAGGAGCATTGTAATAGTAGGGTGTTATCATAGTTATTACAGTTTACATTACAATTGTAAATACAACACTAAAATAAAATCCCCCCAAATTTTTACTCTCAAAATAGTCCTTTTCTTTCACAGCAATTCACAAAAGTAAACAGAAAAAATACTAAAAATCTATTACATATGACTGAAAATTACCTATAGTATTATCCCTATCAAATATTCATGGATAAATACTTTGCATACATAATACACATAGGAAATATACACTAGAAAGCAGAGTTTTGCTTCCTTCCTTTCTATTCCAATAAACTCTCCACTTACCCGTCCTCTAGGCCTGTTCTTTCGTTTTGGAATATCTTCTTCCAAGTCTTCTTCCTCGTTCACTTCATCTGCATTTTCATCATTTTCTAAAACCCTCTGTAGTTGAACAATAAAGGAATGGTTAGAAGAGAAAAGGAGGACTCATACAACCAACTGCTGCTCTTTACCACAGTGATTGTGGGTTATTATAGTTGATATAAAGCCAAATGAGATCCCAGTACATCTGTTTCTCTCTACCAAAGCAAAATTTGCTCTCTTTTCCACCCTAAGATCTCAAGGGAATTCCTACTAAAAAACTACTACTGATATCAGTCAACTATGATAAAAAGGTTCCTAAGAACAAATACTGGCAGCACTGAGCACCAATATTCCAAGACAACACAAATATTAGTATGCATAACTGCAGGACCTGTCTGGGAATTTGTTTTCAATTTAGCCTGGGTTTTTTATTTTCATTTGTTGCAATTTAAATCGTTTTGTTTTCTTCTAATGTTAAGAATGCACTTCAGGAATACAAAACCAGTAGTTTTCTCCTTGGTAGCTCACCATCTTCTTTCTTTAGCAAAAATAGAGAAAATTCCTCCATGTATTCCAGAATGGATCTAGAAAGCCATGTTTTTTAGGACTTGCACCACAGGTACGACTCTAATCTGGAAGCAGGAAGTTTGTTGCATGAGAATGCTGAGGAATTACAGGTCTTATTGAGGTTAACAGCACCATCAGCAATAATTTGTTCAACTAATTATTTATTAAGGAACAATAGTTCATCAACTCACATAACTGTGAGATGCCTGGGCCAGGCAATTTCAATCTTTTAACCTGATCTTTTGAAATGTAACCTCTACAGAACCAAACATGGGCTGGCTGACCTGCATGAAAACATGCACAAGTCAGACATCACATGGAAAAAGGCCAGACAAATCATCACAACACTAATGCAGGAAGAAGTCCCACTGAAATTCCTTCAACCCTTGTCATGTCTGCTAGAAATACAGAAATTGTCCCCAGCCACTCCTGCCATTTATGGTGCTGTGCCATTTTGCAAGGGACTAATCTGGAATCACTAACTTACCTTTGCCATGCCAACATTCATTTAAATTATAGCCACAATGCAGATCCAAATAGTGGCATTAAACTGATAGGAATGTTCTTCAGTCTTACTGTATTTGTCCCTTCTCTCTAATTTCTACTTTAAAACTATTTGAGAACCAGCAGACTGGGAACAGGAGCAAGTCAGTTTCTTTCTGTCCTTTCCACATACCTCAAGCACCAAATTCTGAATTTGTGGGAAAGAATATAACAGAAATTTCATGTTTCAAAATGTCTGTATTTAGAAGATTCGTTACAAAAGTTTATTCTTACTTTATCAGCTAAATTTCTAAGACTAATACTGGTCAGTTCATTACAAACAAGTTGTAGCACATGACAAGGATCAAGTCTTCATCTAATTTTTGCTTCTTCTATTTTTGAATATCAGGAGGCTATTAATGAGCTCCGACCATCATGAAATACAATTTCACATAATACTGGAGGTACTAAATACTAGATGGTGTAAAAGTTAAACAGGCTCCAGTTCTGCTTACATAAAATGTTTCTTCAAAATTCATACAACTGCATACATGAATTGAATTCATCTTAGGACTGAAGTGCTTGAAAATTTTTGTACATGAGGAGACTGTAAGAATGTATGTAAGAAAATAAGCAAACTTACTGATATGCGTTTGTATTTTTCCATTGCTTCATATCTTAAAGTATCTCAAAAAATCCCCAGCAAAACAGGGGCAACCACATCATATGTGGGAGGAAAATTTACAACAATAATATTACATGAGAGTTAAGAGAAATATTACAAACCACTTTCTTCCTTTAAATTTGAAGCAATTTAGGAAAGAGATAATATGTAACCAAGTGTGAATTTGGTGACACTGTCAGAGTAATTACTTTAATCCTTGATAGAAGGGGCATAACCTTTCTGCTGCATGGTCAGAAGGCTACTTTAACTCTTTTCCATCAAACAATGGAGACGCACGTTCAATACCAATTTACTGTAGGGTAAAATTGTCAATCCTGTAACATACCAACTGTACAGCAGGTCCCAATGCCTGCATCTATTTAGCAGGAGGGACTCTGGTATGTTTTAGCAGAGTAACTTTTCTTTTCCTATTATGTCTTACTAAAAGTTTCCCAGCCCTATATACTTTGGTGCAGCCAAGCACCAGGTCATCTTCTCCTGACAGATATTGGGAATTTGGGAGGGTGGCAAGTAGCTGGGTCTGAGGTGGGAATTACAATGATGTCTATTCCACTTGCTCACTCTCACCACCATTGAGGCTGGGCCCTTTGGAGTTACAGCACAGACAAGTATGCAAAGGAACAAAAGAGAGATTTGCATTCTCTTTTTTGTCATATCGATAAAGGCACTGATTGTGATTTTCATCTGGTACAGTCTAGCTGCCAGGTGCCAAAGTACACACTGGAAGCTGCCTACTAGTGAAGGCTTTGGCAATCATAGTTCTACAGACTGAATCCAGATAAGCTATGCTTGCATAAAATAAAGCAGCAAGACATGCCTTTTGCATCTGTTCTGATGAAACTAGCATCCAGTTGACAGGTCACAGCTACAGCAGTTTAGCTGAAAATCTGTTCTGTTTTTCTGCACCTCCTCCCTGCTCTGCAATGCCTGGATTTATGTCATTTCCACCATATCTGAGGTCTCTTTCTTCAGACTGCTGCTGGGAATAATTTGGGAGCTCAGATCACACAGCAACATTCAAAGGCAATTGTCAATTTCATAAGGATGCTGCACCATGACTTCTTGTGACCTTAAAGCAGGGAAAAACAGACCTTTGGTAAGACCCAGATATACCACTGAAGAAGCAAACAGAGCAGGGCTCATGTCAAGCCTTTCCCCAGTCCATAAGCATGGCATCCTTCCTCTTTGATGGTGCTCTTTTACCTCTGCAACTGGGAATGGGAGACCCAATTGTGCTGCCCTTACTTGTGTAAAATTTCTAACAAATAGAGCAGCAGGACTGACCTTCAGGTAATACAGATTTGATGTTTGCATTTTTCTGTTTCATTTCGCATAGGACTGACCCCTCAAATTTTTAGTACTTTGAGGTATAGATGCAACCTTTTGTATCTCATCCAAAATTACCAAGTTTGACACATTGCTAATAACTCTCACTAAAAATCCCTAAAAAGACTCACAGCACAATGGTGTTTTAGCCTCACCAAAGATGTACTGCTGTGGGAGATGCCCGCTTTCAGTGATTTAAGATGTTTTAAAAGTGACATGGACTTATACAAGAACCCTTTATATTAGCTGAATTTCTTCTATAACAAACCTACAATTGTGTTTTGGCTTTTAATTGTTGAAGGATGAAATGAAATCTTGACTATTTTTAAACCATAATGCATGTGAAAAGGCAATATTTCTCATACTGCATCACTAATAATAATTTAAATATTTGAGATTATATTTTTCAAGAAATTTGTTTTTCTTGTCTACCTACAGAAGGCTACCTACTATTAAAAATAAACAACAGGCAAAGCAATGACATGTTTTAGTCTACAGCAGCTGTGAATCCAAATTGAAATTCTTGAAACTCACTTTAAATGTGAACCATTAAAAATCAGTTTATTGTTGGGATCCACCTCATTTTCTCAGTTTTTTTATGTAATTATCTCATAGTGCTGTAAAATAAATTTGAACACAGGACCTGTGCAGAACAGTCAAACAACAAAGTTTCTTGTGACAAGAGAAGTGTGTGAGATACTGATATCATTTTGAGCATCGCAGTGTAGCACAAAGTTTTGATAACATTTTGGCAGTAGAATGACACAACTATCAACAGATATACTGTTTTGCCACAGGACAAAAGACTGTTAGACTTAGAGACAAATTGTAAAATCCAGCCCTGATGTCACAGCATAGGGCTCTCCTTTACCTGGATTTCTTGTATAGTGTCTTCCTCTTTAGTGTCTGTTTTTTTCTCTATTGCCTCTCCACGCAGCAAAGCTTCCAGAGTTGTACTTTCTGAGGTGAACCCATCTTTTTTCAGAGGCAGATCAACTTCTGAAAAACAAAACACACTTACTGTGTGTCTCCCGCAAAGGGCTAACAAGAAGGACAGAGATTTCAAGCAGATGATGAACAGACTTTCAAACTTGTTTCTATCTGGAAGGGGAGCTCTTCAAGTTCATGTAACCACTAAGAAACTCCATTTATCATTAATTTCTATCCTACTGAAAACCTGGTATCTTTTCATTTGCTATGCTTGTTTACAGGAAAAAAGGCTGGATATATTTTATCAGGAGGAAATAAATGGGGGGAAAATCTTCCTATGCCTTAAATAAAGAACAAAATCAGGATGTTTTAAGATACTGAAATAACAAATAAGAAGAATCTTATCTCCTGAAGAAGAAAAGTAGTTTAATGCAATTTAGCATCTGGCACAGTTTATATAGCACAGCTTCAATCCTCATTCTCCTACACCAGGGCATGTTCCACATGTGGGAAAAAAGAAAGTTTGTGTGTGGGGCCAGTGCTGAGACCATATATTGAAAAACAGAGACGTGTCTTGAGTTTTCCTGTGCTACTGACTAGATAAAATCTCTGGTTGGCTCTAGCTGGCAATACCAGCAAAGAAACACAGTTATGAGTGCAGAATCTTGCTCATAAAATGGGACAACACCCTGTCACTGCAGGAAGAGCCACAGGCTGGCTTGGAAACAGGCTGGGGACAGAGCTCCAAAGACACTGGATTGATCAGGAAGTTTGATGCAACTTGCTGGAGAAGTGAAGGAACAGAGCCTTATTCTCCCTTCAAATGCTGCCAACTAGATTATGAGGCAGTGCAGCAGACAGGCAAATACAGCATGTTAACTTTAGCAAGATGTTAAAATATACCCGGGAAATAGTCCAGTTTTCCTTGTAGACCTAGCCTCTACCCCACTCATACAGGGGCTCATTTAGAGCAATTCCCTGGCAGGGAAATATCCTGCACGTGTCTTTACCTGACACTGCCAGGTATGGATTTCTAAAGTAGTTAGTTCCTCCCTTCTAAAATGAATTCCTTTCTCTAGACTGGTATATTTACAAGTAATAATGTACAAGAATGATGCTTACAAATGAGCATCTGATGTCCTTAACTCACAGTTCTGTCTACTTATGCTTTAAGAACTGTGTTTTGTTCCCCAGTCTGCCTGAAGCTCCCTGCCTTTCTATCACAATGAACTGTAAATTCTGCAGGGCAGAAATTCATGTGTTTTTAAAGTCCCAAATCACTCCTGCAAACCAAATAATGAATGAGTACTTCCACCTGGGACAGTAAAGTGTAATCTGATTCTTGGGGGCAGTTGCATCCCAGGAATATGTTTGTTCTATATATGAAAAACTTTCAGTTACCAAATGATTCAGCGTCCCTGATCGGTACTTCCACAATGTACTTGCTACAGTGTTCTGAAGTGGGAGAGCATTGCTTAGCCAACAACCACAGAAAATCCAGCAGAAATTCCAGAAAAAGCTATTCTATTCATGGAGGGAAAGGCTGAGTACAAACCATGCAGAAAAACCAAACCACTGGGATTTTAAAGGAAACTCCCAGGACAACCCACACAATGGGATGGAGTCAACTGTGAATTGATCCCCCTTCTCATCACAAGGAGCTCTATTCAATCAGGCCTCTGTTTTCAGCATTAAGCTCTGCATAGGCATTCCATTATGGCCCCTTCCCCAACTTCTCCCTTGCTTGAGCTATAAAAAAGACAGAAAAGTCAAAAGAGAAGCATACAGATTGAATTTCCCTGTATGAACGCCTAGTACCTCCCTCTGGATCCAGACATTTCAATAGAAATAAAAGATTTTTGATGTGATTTATGTGCAAATCCCAATGCTTGAATGTGTAGTCACTGAGGAACCTCCATAATCATCTCTGGATGTGGGCTTGGCTTGGGTTCAAAGTCCTGTGCTTGGGTGCAAAAGGGCATTTGCTCTGTACTTAGAACCTTGAGGGACTGCAAACCCCAAGGGGTCATCATACATTCAGCAAGCAAAGAAGCTTCAAGCAAGCTCAAGGGCATTGGAAACAAACATGTCCTCACTGTGACAAGCTACACCTGTCTCTGGACACCAGCACATTCAGCAAATGCATGCATTAGAAAAGGAAATGAGCAAGGAAAGGCTGAGGGAATAAGTAGAACATAGGAACTACTCTCCATTTGTTCCAGAGATATCAAAAACTAAGTTTGAAAAGAGGAAAAGGTAGGTTTTAAGGTCAAAACAGGCAGCTGTCTTTTATAGGCATGGTTGTTCTGTGTGGCACTGCTACTTCCCAACAACAACACTCCAGGAGGACTTTTCATCCAAAACTCTCAGAGCATTTTATAATTACTAAATTTAACATCCCACTGACAAGGCGTTGTAAAGTAATATTTTTATTCACAGTTGATGGGGAGACTGAATCACCAAGAAGTTAAGTTAGTGAGCTGGGCATCCAGTGAAAATAAACTCAATGTGTGTCTCCCATTTTCCCACTAAGCTGACTGCCATTCAACTCCTTCATCTTCTTCTCCACTGGTAGCTTCTATCAACGCAATTTAATTTCTAAATAGTTTTAGAAGGTGGGAAAAAGCAGACACTATCTTATCTGGAATGTAAAGTCTACAGCATAAAAACCTTCAGAGGTCCAAAGACAACCCCTTGTAATGAATTCAGTCTTTGTAATAAATTCAAACCTTCCTGAAGATGGTTAGTCTGTAAAGGGTACAGAAATGAAGATGGGAAATTATGTTTCCAAACTAGTTTTTGAATCCCCACAGATGAAAGTCTTCTAAATCAAAAAGATAGTTCCGTTAACTGACAGAAATAGTTAAACACTACCAGGGATCATTAAATTAATTTCACTAGATCCCTTATGTTCTCTTTCCTGTTTAACTATCCATGATTTTCCCACAAAATCAAGAGAAGTATCTTTTACTCTTATTCCAGTACCCTAAAGAAAACTGAGAAGGCAACTCAAAAAGTGAAATTTAGTTTTCATGTGAAAGATCAAGGCCTTTCCCATACTAAGGGAACTGCTGTTTGGATCTAAGGTGGGGTCTGCTCCACGCACTGTTCTGCTTATGAAGGTACCAGCCAGTGCCTGAAGCTTCAAACAAGGCCAGAGGGAGACTCTTCTGGGCTTAAGAAATTAAGCTGTGACACCGTGCTTGCTTCTGCTTTGATATTGCTCATTCCACACTATGCAGTCACCTCTCATGCTACTGTAGAAGCTTTGAATGTCTGTCATGAGAGAAATGCAAAAGAACTTACCTACCCTAATACTGTGTTTCATCCTGAGAGATAAATGCAGTATCCCTTCCAGTTATCCTAAGCCTGGCTCTTCCAAAAATACACAGAATAGCCCAGCCATTTCTGAACTTTTATACACTTTTACCTCGATGTTTTCCCCCTTGATAGAGTTCAAAAGTTTAACTATGGTTTGAAAGAAGGAGTGTTTCACTTTATCTATTGCCTGCACCCTTGTCCTTACTGGGGAAAACAGAAGTTCTTGACCAAAGTTTTTGTAATTTCTTTTCATTCCTCTCCTTTCAAGGATAAACAGTCACAATCTTTTCTATTACTGTGCTATGGGAAGTTTTCCATATGGTCCTGACGAACCTCTCTGAACTTTCTCTTATTATACACCAGTCTTCCCAAGATACTGCATCTGGGATTTTCAGATGAAACCACGTCCCCCATTTAAACAAATGAATTATGGTATTCTATAGATTACTCCTCAGGCTGTGTCTTTCAATAGCCAAGTTACTTATTAAGCAGAAGAATTAGGAATCTTGTAGTGGGGACAAGAACTTCCCATAAGGAATACATTCAAACAGATACCATATTATTATGCCCATCCCTCTGCCCTCTCCCCAAGCACATTCACTTCTCCCCAGAGTGTTCTGCACAGACCTTCCCGGCCATGATTGCTCTCAGTAACTTCATAGTATGTGCAAATCTTTGTAGTTGACAAGGTATTCCTACTCTGCAGCTTGCTCATTAGTGTATTATATAACACAGGACCAAGCACTAAACCTTGATGTACCAGCTGTAACCCTTTATCTACAATGAAAGTTCTTTCTTCCATTATCTTTTATTTCAAAAGTTTTGATCCAAGACAATTCTCAGTTTCTCTTTGGAGACATACCAAAGGTCTTCAGAAAGTTTAAGGAAATTGTCAATCCCCCTACCTATTAGTTTTGTACATATCATGTAAAGAATTTTAAGAAAGTAGTGAGGCTTGGTTTTCTTTGGTAGGAAAAGCATACTTGGTTAGAACCTCCTATATCATCATTTCCCAGGTGCTTTACTGCTTATATGTATTACTGTTTCAATCTATTTCTCAGATGTTAATGTAGAATTTATGTGTCTTTAAATCTTTGAATCACATCCAAATCCTTTTTAAATATAGGTAATAACATTTGCTACCCACTAATTGTTCTACATTCATTGTAACTTCTAGTTTGTATCACAAGCTCCTCTTCAAACATTACAATTCCAGAGAACATAATCTTTATTACAAGTAATAACTACCAGTAAAGTCACTATAATTAAAAGCTTACTCTTTAATATGCGAATTTTAAGAAGGTTTGTAGATAAATTTCCTTTTGATTAGTACCACAAGTACAACCGCACATGGTTAATGTAACAGATAGAAGAACTAGTTGCAACTACACAAAATGAAACTGTCAAATCAACAAAAATCATCAATGAAAAAAAATGTTATTTTAGAATTCTTCCTGTTTTAGTAAACCATCGTATTCTTGGTGTCACAGCTAAATACTGTGCATATATTATAATTCAAATGTGTGTGTGTGCATATAATTATAATTTATGTTTCTTAACTTGGCAGAATCCCCTTCATAGTGATTAAATTAACATGTTTTTTTCTGCTTACCAGCTCAGTGCAGCAACCACTCTATTTATTAAGGTCCTGAGATTGCAGTGGTAGAATCTGAACAAGCACCCATACCACTATCATTCCTGTATCTGTTTTCTATTGAATTGCTGCCTCCAAAAGTAGCACATTCTCA